TGGCAGTCTTGCCCGCTATAATGGACAACTGGTCGAGGATCTTCTCGTTCTGCTTGGCCATGCGCTCGAGAATCTCGTTCAAAATCGGGCTCGCGCTCTGGGTCGCGACCCCCTTGCAGGGCCGCGACCTGCCGGGTCACCGCGCGGGCGCGCTCGGCGGCCTGAGGCTCGCGGCGCACTGCAGGGGCGGCGACGCGGGGGGGGGGGGGCTTTGGGGGGGGGGCGTCGACATGGAGTCGGCGATGCATCGCCGATGCGTCGGCGATGGGCGTCCGATCGTGACTCAGCGCGCCTCCGGGCAGTTTCGGGCAGTCGAACCACTCTCCGCGATGAATGGGCGATGGGGCCACGAACCGTGCGAGGGATGCGCTACACATAACTCCAATGCTCTGCCTGCTCGGAAAATAATATATATATATATATATATACACACAAAACTTCAAAATCCAATCGAACTCCATGGCCCTGCCAACTGTTCCTGGCTCAGGAACGGCTGCGAAAGTAGAACTCCCCTGGCCCTGCCGAACGTTCGTGACTTGGCAAAACTGGAACGACGAGAAAGAATCCCATAACCCTCCCACGCGCTGGTTGCGGAAGCCGAAATGGGGAGACCACCATTGCCATGCTCAGCGTTTTTGCTGCTGTTGCTGACCAACATGAGATGATCGCAACTTCGATGCGCAACGTCTCCCAGGATTAAGAAGTTCGGCCTCCGCGCCCCCCTCCAATGTAAATCCTATGGACGCGGGATTAACAATATGGGGGGGGGGGGGGGGGGGGGCGGAGGGGGGGAGGTTTTGTCTCAGTCCCCTGAAACATGACGTTTCGCACCGGTTTACATCTGGATCGATGTCTAATAGCATCATATTACAAATGGATCTACCTCGGATGGGATCCTATGACATATGGATCCACCTCTAATAGAATCATACTACATACGGGTCTACCTCTAATGGAATCCGATTAGACACGGATCCGCCTCTGTTGGCATCCTATTAGAGATGTGCCCACCTCGACTGGAATCCTATGACAGACGCATCCACCTCTGATAAAATCTTAAAACGCATGGGTCGACCTCGAATAAAATTGTATTACATATGTATCCACCTCGAAGAGAATCTTACTACATATGGGTCCACCTTCCATAGAATCCGATTAGGAATGGATCCACCCCGAATGCAATCCCACTACCGACGGAGCCACCTCTAATATAGTCTTATGGCATATGGATCCACCTCTAACAGAATCCCACTAGAGATGGGTCCACAACTAATGGCATCACATCAGAGATGGATCCACCTCGAATGGAATCCTGGTACGGATGAATCCACCTCTAATAAAAACCTTGTACATATGACTCCACGTCTGAAAGAACCCCATTACATATGGGTCCACCTCTGATAGAATCCTATTAGCGATGGATCCACCTTTGATAGAATCCAATTAGACATGGATACCCCTCTAGTGGGCTCCAATTACAGATGGATCTACCTCTAATAGAATCCTATGAGAGATGATTCCATCCCCAATGGCATGCTATTCGAGATTGGTCCACCTCTAACAGGACCTTATTACACATGGATCCGCCTCGAATGGAAGCCTATTAGTGATGGATCCACCTCTGATAGAATCCGATTAGAGATGGTTCCACCTCTAATGGAATCCTAGCGCGGATGGGTCCATCTCTAACAGAACCCTATGACAGATGGACTCACCTCGAATGTAATCCTATCACAGATGGATCCACCTCTGATAGAATCCTATTAGGGATGGGTCCACCTATCGAACCCTAATTCCCCGTTGCCCGTCATTGCCACGGTAGGCCAATACCATACCATCGGAAGCTGATAGGTCAGAAACTTGAATGATTCATCGCCAGCGGAGCTATGCGATTCGTTCGGTTACTATAAATCACCAAAGGACCCGAAGGAGCCTGGGCTGGTTCTGTAACTGATAAACACAACCCTTCCTATAAGTCGGGTTTGGGCGCATGTATTAGCTCTACAAGTAGCCCAGTTACCCATGTAAAGAAAGACCATCACATAAACTATAACTGTATGAATGAGCCATCCGCAGTTTCGCCGTATAGAAGCTTATACTGAGACATGCATGGCTTAATCTCTGAAGCAAGCATATGACTACTGACAGGATCAACCACGTTTGTACTTAACCACTGAGCCCTGGCACGCCGAAGCATGCCACAAACAACAGTCTTGCACTCAAACAGTCAACCAGAGAAACCCGGAGAAGCAATTAAGGACCCCCCCGGCGTTATCATTAGCACCGCGCCGTAATTAAATAATTATTTGGGGGGTTTTCGCCAAGCGATATTATTAGCACCGCGCAAATGGAAGGAAAATAAATAATTCCAGCGCCCCGCCTCGGGTGGCATCCCAATTAGAATTGTAATGAGAATAAGAATGCGAATACGAATAAGGAAAAGCTGAGAAAAGCTAAGGAAAAGCTTAGAAAAGCTAAGAAAAAGCTGAGAAAAGCTGAGGAAAGCTAAGGATACCCCCTCCTGGTGCCAGGATAACGCTTCCGGGTGCCGGGTGCGTTATCCTTTCACCGGAGAGGGGGGGGGGGGGGTCCTTAATTAATCGCTTACTCGGGTAATCCAGCAACATATGGCGACAAGCGCCAGCGCTGCAACTCATCAGAGCTTACACTGCGACGCTGACGCGCAAGGCACGAAGAGCCGCGCAAAGCAGCACTACGCCCCAAGCGCTCAGGCCTCGCACGCTCAGCGTGCGCTGTTCTTTGGAAGCTGACCCAATGGGTATCAGCATTCACTGAAGTCACTCGTGGAAGCGCTACTGCAGCGCCTTCCTTTATATCAACCTGCCCCGAGAACAACCAAGACACCTTGCGTGCTGATTCACTGATTGCCCTGGGGCTCGGTTTGCTGTCAACGTCGAAACAGTGTCGGACGAGTGTCTCCCAGGGCCCGGCATGTGAAAGCCCTCCAACTTCGGTGCTTCTTTCTGGTGCTCGAAGTCCTTTCTGGTGAACAACGCTAGTGCGGGTTGGAGCATCACAAACCCGGGGGGCAGAAGACGCCAGACAAAAACCTTCTCGAGCCCAGAACCTCGAACCTCTCCCTCCCTTCCCTGCCGGTCGGAGCCACGCGGCGTGGGCAACACACAACGTTTGGGGATGCCCCCGTGTCTCCGGAACAGATCCCGGCCTCGGAGGCTTCGTGGGCAAGAGGGGGGCGTCCCAGAGGGGGGTTCGCAAATCAGGAGGAGGAGGAGGAGGAGGGGGAAGAGGAGGGGGACGAGGAGGAGCAGGAGGAGGAGGCGGAGACGGAGGAGGAGAAGGAGTGGGACGGCGACACGTGCGCGGCCCAGGGGTAGGCCAGGGGACGCAATGCTCAAAGAAACGCCATGAAATCGGGGAGATATCATGGCCCCAGCCATGATATTCCACCGACCCTAGTCTTGAGGGGCAGCGATCGGGGGGAATAGGCGTAGGGGGAATGCATCGACCTGAAATGGTCGATACATCGCTCATGCATCGTCGACATATCGTCGATGCAGACTGCCCCATGCATCGTCTGTACATCGTTCGTATATCGCCCTGGTATCAATAATGCATCGTCGATGGAGCATCCACTCGAGGCCGATGCATCCCCCCTATGCCTTCTCCCCCGGGTCGTTGCCCCCAAAGTTGTCACCCCCGACGACAGGATTGGTCATGACGTTGACCCCCGTTGATCTCGACCCATCGCCCTGGTCCGGCTCTTCATCCCGAGTCCTTTTGTAACGTTCTCGAGGCCCGCCAGGGCCCCCCCCCCCCCCACACACACACACACACACACACACACACACACACACACACACACACACACACACACACACACACACACACACACACACACACACACACACACTTTCCGTCGGCGGCGAGGCGGAGGCGATCTGCACCAGCGAAGGGCTGATCGGGGGCACCGATAGGCAAATTGTCTGGCGTGTCAGAGAGGAGAGCCCCCACACAGGCCGAACACGGCGCAACACCGTCCGCCGTGGTTTTGTTCACGACGAGAGAGGGTCTGGGCACCCCCTTCTTGGCCACCCCAGCCTCCGACAAGGGGTTTTTCGACCCCTGTCCCAGGCTTCGTCGCGGGGCTTCCGGATGGACCAGAAATTTGGGGCCCAACTCGGGGATGCAGGACAGGAGGGCGTCCATCCTCGACACGGGGTGCGTCCGATCCGCCACCCGTTGGGGGTGCGTTAACGAGCTCCCCTCCTTTTCTAAGCGGCTTGTCGTGGAGAAGTAGGGGGCTGGGGGCGTGAAATCGCCCGCGAGCCTCGGAGCATGCGTATATGCCTCCCAAATGGGGCCCGAGTAGATGGGGTCTACGGATCGCGCCGCATCGCCGATACATCGGCGGAGTCGGCGGTACATCATCGACGCCAGCATGGAGAAGATATGGCCCCCCATCGAGCCGCATCGCCGATGCATCGGCGATGCGGCGCGATCCATCGACCCCATCTACTCGGAACCCATCTGGGAAGCCTAGATCGGCTACACGTAAAGAATGACCTAGGCAAGAGTGAACTTTGGTGCGCGACTTAAAAGGGGGCGCGGAGCGGCCAAACCCGAGCGCGCAAGCCGCTGCTGACGCCTCTCGCTCAACGATCGGGGAAACACCAGCTGGGCCCGCACCAATAAGGCCACTCAAGCGAAATGACACTCCAACGTCTAGTCGACTACAATGCGCCTCCCGACCGTGGGGTGGAGGAGGAGAAGGAGGAGGAGGAGGAGGAGGACGAGGAGGAGGACGATAACGAGGAGGAGGAGGAGGACGACAAGGAGGAGGGAGCAGGAAGAGGAGGAGGAGGAGGAGGAGGAGGAGGAAGAAGAAAAGCAGGAGGACGAAGAGGTAAAGGAGGACGAGGACGAGGAGGAGGACGAGGAGGACGACGCCGAGGAGGACGCCGAGGAGGGCGAGGAGGAGGACGAGGCGGCGGAAGAGGACAACGACGACCGGGGCGGGCCTCCGCGCGGGCCCCCCGGGCGGGCGCGGAGCCCGGCGGCCCTCCCCGGGAGAGGGCGGCCCTCCGCGCGGGCGGCAGGCCCGGCGGCCGCGGCTCCTCTCGGGGGGCGCTGCTGCCCTCCCGAGGCGCCTCGGCGCTCCCTGCCGGGGAGGCCCGCGGGAGGGGCCTCGGGAGGGGCTGCCAGGGGCCCTCACAGAGGCCTCCCTGGGGGGGGCTCCCCACAGAGAGCTTCCAGGGGCGTCCAGGGACTTCCAAGGAGGCCCCGCAAAGACTTCCGGGCTTCCAGAGGCTGCAGAAGAGCTTCCAGGGGCCCCAGTCAACAGAGAGCTTCCAGGGGCTTCCACCGCCTTCCCGAGGCTTCCAGAGAGCAACAGATCCACCCTCATGATCTGCACCCCGACAGGCGAAGCCATGGAGTGAACGCACCCAGGAGAGGAATCGAACAGGGCAGGGCTGTTCAGCAAAGGCCCAGGGCCGTTCAGTAGACGCCAATTGTCGGGTGAAGGAAGGCATTTCCTCCCTTGACTAACTGACGCATCAGATATGTTCGATTCCACTCGTGGTCATCCAAGGGGCCCAGGGACACATCAATACATACACAAATCCCAGGATCCCCCAGACTAGAGGGCAGAACATCCACCCCCATAATAACCACCCAGACACGCGAAGCAAAGTAGTAAATGCGCCCAAATAAATATTCAACCAGGGCAGGGCTGTTTAGTAAACGCCCAGGGCTGTAGTAAAAGCCAATTGCCTGGTCTGGGTGGCTTGTCCTCCCTTGACATAGTTCCCGTATGTTCTAGGTTTTTGTCTTCCCCCACACGTCCCATATGCTCCCACATCTTCCTGGGAATCGACGATGAACTGGGTCTGTGTGCCCTCCCGAGGCATCACGCTCCGCCCCTCGCCCCGAAGCAGAGCTTTGCGAAGTGCACATGCCCCTAGGCTCTCCCAACCCCCTCCCTGGGGTTGGGTCGGGCCTGTCCCCCTACAGGCGGATTTTGGGCGACAAATCAGGAATATTCAAGAAATGCACCAAAATAGCCAAACAAAAATGCAGAACCATCGTCCCCACATTGATTCCTGACTATCTTTGAATATTCCTTCCGTAGAGGGACAGGCCCGACTTAATTCTAGGCTCCCGACCCCGTCCCTGGGGACACCTTTTGTTCGGTCATGGGTCCATGTCCGATAATCCCTGGGCCCGACATGGGCCACTGGAAGCCGAAGCCAAAAAAAACACTCCATCGAACCGCACCCCCCCCAGTAGTCCAGGGATGAGTCGAACAAGTCCACCCCTGGGTATGTCCTCGGTGCGTTGGGGCCAGAACTTCGAGGCAAATCCAAGCGTTGCGACCATATCCTGGAGGCGCCAAAGTTACAACTACAAAACATCGGTGATCATCGAACCTCTTCGTGGCCCCTCATTCTGTGGAAATCATACATCAGTGCGGTGACATACCATGCGATGGCCTCGAATACCACAAAAATATCACAACACGGTTCGGCACCGCACAATATTTACCTCGGCGACCGCAATCGAACCAAATCCGTATCAGCAACCTCGCGGGCCGGGCCCCTGGGCCGCGACCAGGCGGATACGGATTTATTTTCGCGGATGCCCTCGCGGAGCGTTTCCGTGCAACCGCGTATCTGCGGAATCGCGCCACGAAATCCAGATAGCGAGGGCGCAGATGCGGATATGTCCCCCGCTCGTGACCACTGACTCACCGGACGGCGTGGTCACCGTACATCCATGGGCATACCTGCTACGATGTCTTCTCTTTGATGTCCACACCAGTAACTCTTGAAATTCAATGATCAACTAATCCAGAAAATCGAGATCCGCGGGATTCCTTGGAAACGGTCGTGTAATTCGTCTTGGGGTCGAAAGTCGGAAGTTTCTGGCCCCGCTCGCCAAAAATGGGAAGTGCCATTGCCAATTGGAAACAAGTCCCCCAACAAATAATGCCAATTCGTGGCGGCGCCGCAGGTTCTGGAGGTTCCGGGGTGCTGTCTCCAAGGATGCAGCGTGGGTTTTCCCAGTGGAAACACTGGGCAACCATCAATGGCATTCCTTGCGAGGACTAATTTCTACAGATGTTCCAGGGAGGTCCGGGCCGCCTCCTTACAACTGCCCCGCGCCCCGTCCAAGAAATACGATTCATTGGAGAAAACCGCTCGCTGCGAATTACTGGGGGACGCCGAAATTCGGGAAACCTCGGGGAGGCCCCACCGGGAAACGAATATAAGCTCCCCGATCACCCACCTGAAATTTCGGAGTGTATGGGAATTTTGGCCTTGAGCTTTTGGAATTAGAGTGGCGGGACATCGGAGCAGGTAAGGCCTTGTGACTCTCGAATCGTGGCCGTGCCACGAGAAGCTCCCCTCCCTCTGATGATTCGAGGTCAATCCCCGCTGACTCACCCAAAAGTGTGGTCACCGCGCAGCCTTGGGACTTCCAAAATCGCGATATTGCAACGAGCCTCCCCCCACACGGGACATTATTTCTAAAAAATCCCGCGCTGAACGCATTCGCGCGACCGCGTGCCCGCGGCATCGCGCCCTGGAGTCCAGACCGCAACCGCGCGGATGCGGATGCTGCCCCCGCTCGTGACCACTGACTGGTCACCGCACAAACTTGGGACTCCCGAGCCGTGGGCCTGCCGCGAGAAGCCCCCCCCCTCCTCCTTCCCTCCCTCCCTCCCTCCCTCCCTCCCTCCTGTAGTCATCCCTCCCTCCTCCTCCTCCTCCTCCTCCTCCTCCGTAGCCATTTTGGCTCAAGTTTTTTGGTTTGGCGGGCTGAGCCCGCATTGGCTTTCACGGATACCGCTAGTCCGCGGCAGAGCTAGGACTGTTCAGTCCGACGTCTTTCCTCCCTGGTGGCGGCGCCCCGCTGCCAGGGTCTCCCTCTTTCTCCAGAGTTGTCCCATGGCCCCAGGCGATGGTGGGGCAAAGTGTACGGCGTGTGGCGCGATCAAGTGCAACAAGCCGTGGTACAAATGGTGTGCGAACTGTTGGGCTCCCATTCGTCAAGTGGTTCCTGTTGACCCTATTGCTGCTCGTCAGCCTGGTGGTCAATGGCAGCACGGTCCGCCCAAGGCTGACAGTTGGGACAAGAAGGGGGCCAAGGGCAAGAAGGGTGGTGGGAAAGGTGGGAATGAGGGTGGCAAAGGAGGTGCCCTCGCGCCGCCCCGTACTCCGGCAGCCATGCTTGCCCAGATGGCCCTGCTCATGGAACACTTCAAAGAAGAATTCCCAGAGCGTGACGCGCTCGCTGCAAGTATCCAGAAGACGGCTACGTGTGTCAAGTCTTCGGCCGAATCGGTCAAGGACTCGCTCCCTCTTTTGCAGCAGCATCGTGACGTTCAAGATTCGCTTTCCAAGAATGAGAAGTTCGTGGCTTCATTGGACAAGCAGATTTCCGAGTGCCAGGACAAGCTTGCCAGGCTCCAGGAGCAGAAGGCAGAGGCGGAGGTGCAGCAGGTCCAGATTCGTGCTCGGTATAAAGATCTTGCTGCCAAAGTCCGCCTCCTCGCTGCTGACGATCCTGCCAGAGACCTGTCCGACCAGATGGCGACCTTCAACGACGTCCTCGAGGGTGGCGACCTGGGTTCCATACGTGAGGCCTGGGCAAAGCTCAAGCCAGCCTGTGAGACTTTTGCCGCGCCTGTTTCCGCTGAGCCTGCTACTAACGCGGGCGGGGGTGGGGAGGGTGGGGTGTCTGAGTCTGCAGATGTTGAGATGCCTCAGGTCTCATCTGAGGACGAGTCAGCTTTCCAGGCTTTCATTCGAGGAGAGGAGATTTCCGAGGAAGCCAGGAAAAGAGTCGCGGACTACCTCCAATCCGCGACCAAGCGTATCAAGTCGGGGGAGAGTGAGGCAGCGGCAGCCGCTGCAGGAGCTGGGGGTTCGCCTGCTGAGGGTGGTGGAGCGAGTGCTCCTGGCACTCCTCTGGCTCCAGCTCCTGCCGTCGGCACCGCCGCCCGCCAGAAGCCTCCTTCCTGACGTGCAGCAGAGCGCGGCGCTCTTACTGCATCGTTCGGGGGGGGAGACCCCCCTTTTAAGCCAGGATATTTTCTTCAGTTCTGAGGGTGCGGGTGTGCACCCCCCGCCTGCGCCACCAGTGTAGGATTTCTCACTTGTTGTCCAGACGTGCAATATCACTGGCTGGCTTTCTTTGAAGCACAAGTGGCTCAGCAGAGTCAAGGCGCGCGTTCTTTTGGTTCAGGAGCATCACCTCATCGAGGAGGAAGATATTGCTTCAGCTTCCCAGTGGCTCTTTCGGCGTGGATGGAAGTCCTGTTGGGCGCCTGCAGCTCCTGGGCCTGGAGGTGGCACGTCGGGGGGCATCGCCGTCCTCGTCCGCTCCTACCTGGGCATGCGCACTCTCTCTTCGGGGTTCGTCATCGCCCCTCATCGTGCAGGCGCAGCGGTTGTGGTCGTTCCAGGGGGGCTTCGTATCCTAGTGGCGTCCGTCTACCTTCACGACGTGGAGGGTCTTTCCGAGCGCAATGTCGAGCTGCTGGCGCAGTTTGGAGCCAGCGTTTCTCACGCGGACCTTCCCGCTATCATAGGTGGGGGCTTCAACATGACCCCAGAGGACATCAGCCGCAGTATGTTCGTGCAAGAGTTTAAGGGCCAGCTTATCATCCCCGCCGACGGTTGCTTCACCCTTCGGAGTCAGGGAGGCCTCAAAGTCTTTGGCTACTTCGTCGTGTCGTCGGGCATCAGCAAGGTCGTTAAACAGGTGGCTGTCAATAACAACTCCCCCCTGTCCCCACACAGCCCTGTGGATCTGGAGTTGTTTCCTAACCCCGCCCAGATGCAAGTTTTGGAATTTCGCAAGCCCCCTCTGCTTCCCAAACAGCAAGCCATTGGGCCCACCCGTGAACCCCCTTCTGGGGATGCGGTTCTTGGTTTCCTGGGGGGCACGGTGGATGTCGCTCGGAAGGGTAAAGGGGTTGAAGCTCAACGTAGGTTAGATTTAGCTTACAAGCTCTGGGCCAATATGGCTGAATGCGAAGTGGCCGAGGCCACGCAGACCTCTCTGCCCTTCTGGGGTGCGAGAGGCAAGTCGCCGCAGCCTGTTTGGC